CCAGGGTCCTGGGTTCGAGCCCTGCATCGGGCTCCCTGCTCGGCGAGGAGCCTGCTTCTCCCTCTCCCACTCCCCCTGCTTGTGCACACACTCTCGCTGTCAATGTCAAATAAATAAAATCTTTAAAAATAAATAAATAAAAAAGAATAAAAAAAAAAAAAGAACGCTCACCTTGAAGAAGTCAGTGTCCATCAGTGGATGGATAAACACAACGCAGTCTGTCCGTGCGATGAACATGATTCTGCATGAACACGAGCGAAGCCCCGGCAGGCGCCACAAGATGGGAGAACCTTGGAAATGTCATGCGATGCAAAAGGAGCCAGACACAAAAGGCCACGTGGAGCATGATTCTGTTTACAGGCAATGTCCAGAGTAGACAGATCCATAGAGACATAAAGTAGGTTAGGGGTTGCCAGGGGCTCGGGGCTGCGGGGTTGGGAGGAAGGGGGGAGGTAGCTGGGGGGTACAGGGTTGTTTTTGGGGGGTGATGAAAATGTTCTAAAATTGATAGTGGTGATGGTTACCCCACGACTCCCTATAAGTGGTGTGTAAATGGAATTGTCTGGTATGTGAGTTATATCACCATAAAGCTGCTTGCAAGACTCCTCATGGAGATCCCTTCCCAACCTAGAGGAAATGGAGAGGAGAGAGGAGTAGGATCAGGGCTTCAGAGCCTCCGGCCTGGACTCAGAGTGCGCATTTTCTCTCCTCCCCCCCAGAACTGAAATACCCGGGGAATGGCTGGTCTCTTCCAGTCCTTGAAGGGGAGTCTCTGCTCCTGGTCTGTGCTGCTGACAGCAATCCTCCCGCCACACTGAGCTGGGCCCAGGGGAGCCGGACTCTGGGCCCCTCCCAGCCCTGGGAGCCAGGGGTCCTGGAGCTGCCCCGAGTGGAGCTGGGCCACGGAAGCAAATTCACCTGCCAAGCTCAGAACCCGCTGGGCTCCCAGCACGTCTCCCTGCATCTCTCTGTGGTCTGTGAGTGTGGGGACCCCTGGGGGCTGGCTGCACGGGGCCTGGGGAGGAGAGACACCTCTGACCCCTCACCTCCCTCCCGCAGACCCCCCGCGGCTGCTCAGCCCCTCCTGCTCCTGGGAGGGCGAGGGGCTGCACTGCAGCTGTTCCTCCCGAGCCCAGCCGGCCCCCACCCTGCGCTG